CTGCACAAAACTGAAGTTATTAGCCAGTTTGCCGCCATTTTTTCTCCATTTAGGTAAATTAGGGTACAATTTCTGCCATTTTCCCCCAAAATTCGACCATTCAATCGAGCTTGGAATTCTGCAACTCAAAAATGGGTTGGAAGATTCGCGATGAACAGACTAACATTCCCTACAGAATGACGCCAGATTACGGTGAGTTGGTTGAAGAAGCTCTGTAAACCAATATCAAGGTGTTGAAACATTTTTTTTTTCTTACAGGTGTTAACTCCGCATTATTTACAATTAGGTTGTATCACAATGGTTCATTTGGTAACCTAGACGGTACACATTACCTGGGCCCGAATTGTGGTATATCTCATATTGATTTTTGTGATCCTGATGAAATATCATTGCTTGAGCTTCAGTGTATGGCTTCGGATATTGGTTTATCTACGATTAAGTCATTTCACTGTAGTAAAACTGAAATCCATGAATGCAAGAATCTTAGTTTCCTAGAGACTGATAATGATGTTTGCAATATGGTTCAGTGGGTTGATAAGAACATGATGATTGGCATATTTGTTGAACATGAAAATGAGATGGAGAATGAAATATTTTCTGAACTTCCTGTCATAGATGAGCCTTTACCTTATTGCGGGGATATGGATTTATGTGATGCATATAGTGTAGAGGAAGAGGTTCTACCAGAAGTAGAAAATGTTGATGGGGAGGGGTTAGAGAACATAACTGATCAGGTAGAGCTTGATAGTGACTTTGAACAATCTGTTGGTTCAGATTCTGAGTATTCTGATGCATTATATGAGAGTGATGAAGAGATGTATGATGAAGATGATATTCTCTTTGATGGTAATGTTGATGAGGAGGTGGAATGGGGGGGCCTTATTTGAATATGGGCAATACTGAGAGCTCTAACATTCATGTCCCTCATATGAATTTGAGAAAACAGCAAAACAAGCACCCTGTGTTCAATAAGGATTTAGGCATGAATAATCCACAATTTGAGTTAGGAATGCAATTCCCTGACATTTCTACTTTTAGAAAGGCTGTTAAGAATCACTCAATTATGCTAGGCAGACAAGTCACTTTCACTATTAACTTTAGCTACAAGGTGGACAAGTCACTTTCACTATTAACTTTAGCTACAAGGTGCAGGAAAAGTGTAAACATAAATCATGTCCATGGGTCATCTATGCATCTAAGCTTGGAAATGAAGATACTGTCCAAGTTAAAACCTACAATGGTAGGCAGAGATGTCTAACAACACAAAAAAACTCTCATGTTGCTGCTAGTTGGATAGCCAATCAATTCAAAGATAAGATGCTAAGTGATCCAAAATGGCCAGTGGAGAGTATGGTGGCAGTTATGCAAAGGGAAGTGAAACTGATTTTCAACAAATGGCATATGTATCAGGCCAAAAAAATTGTGAAAGCCATAGGTGTTGGGACAGATGGTGAGCAATATGGAATGTTGTGGTCATATGCAAAGGAAATGATAAAATCAAATCCTGATACCACAGTCAAAATTAAGAGCAAATTAGTGGAAGGTAAGCCAATATTCAAAAGAATGTATATTTGTTGGGGTGCTTTGAAAAAGGGTTTTAGGGAAGGATATAGACCTGTTATTTGTTTAGATGGGTGTCACTTAAAAACTTCTTGTGGTGGAATCTTGCTGACAGCAGTTGGTATAAATGCAAATAACTGCATGTACCCATTTGTTTATGCAGTGGTGGAACAAGAAAACACAAAATCTTGGCACTGGTTTATAGAGTTGCTGAAGTCAGACCTTTGTATTCAAAATAACCACAGTTGGACTATAATGTCTGACAAACAAAAGGGTCTAATTAATGCAGTTGAGACTCTTATGCCCGGTTGTGAGCATAGATTTTGTGTTCAGCACCTATACAACAATTTCAGGGTTTCACATAAAGGTGTTGCTCTAAAAAACATCTTGTGGAGGGCTGCCAGGTCTACAAGAGTTGTTGATTTTCATTCTGCCATGACTGAACTAGAAAAAAGAGATAAAGCAGCATTTGATTGGTTAGTTAAAAAACCTGCAGCACAATGGTCTGTCACATTTTGGTTTTCAAGCTAAAAGTGACATTCTGTTGAACAACCTAAGTGAGAGTTTAGCTCTTTAATTCTGAGAGCTAGAAGTAGTCCTATAGTTCATATCCTTGAAACTATTAGGATGATACTCATGAAGAGAATCTATATGAGGAGGGACCAGATGATGAATTATAATGGAGTCATATGCCCCAAAATTGTGAAGTTGTTGGAAGAACTCAAAAAAAGATCCATGGATTTCATTGCAAACTGGAATTGGATGCATGAGTTTAAGGTAGAAGGGCCTTATGGAAACAAGTTTAAGCTACATGAGAAAGAACTTGTTCATGTAGAAAATGGGAGCTTACTGGGATACCATGTGAACATGCAATTAGTGGTTTGTTTCTTTTTTGGACATGATCCAGAGGATTATGTGGACAACTGGTACTCAAAAGAGGCCTTTTTGAGGGCCTACTCCACAATGATGGGAGCATTAAATCCACCTGATGAATGGCCACATGTTGATGTGCATCCTCTGCAACCTCCTCCACATTGTAAGATGTCTGGGAGGCAAAAAAAAAAAA